CAACTTTGTATTAATATGTGTTCATATCTCATTCATGTGGCTTTGAATAGCATGAAATCAGTGCCCAATTAACTTTACATCAGTGTGTGAACAGTTGATTTTCATACTCATTAACCATTTCTAAATCATGTTTTCGTTTTCTTTTTATTTATTTATTTTCTTTTTAAACCCCACTCCCTCCAAATAAGTTAGAAACTAATATATATATATATGAAAATTCAAAAGAAACAAAAGAGTGCACCCACAAGCTTCATTTGCTTTTATCAAAACAAGAGCCCACTTAACAGCAATTGAGGCATTATTGAAGGACCCAATCCTCCCGTTTTGTTCCATTTCTTACGCGTAACATATAACACCATATTATTCCTTCTTTATTTTTCAAAATTGTCATTCGGCCGGCCATCACCACCCAAAACCTTTCTTTATTTTCACTTTCCATCCATTTTGCACTACAAATACCTTCGATTTCCCATGATAGACCAAGAAAACCCAAAATACGAAATGCCAAAAGAAAGCAAACACAAGCCACCACAACAAGGCCACGGAGGAGGAGGCCGCCCTTGTGGCTTATGTCTTTCATTTTCCTCCTCTTATTAGGAGTCACTGCACTTACCCTATTGCTCATCTACCGTCCCCACAAGCCTCGTTTCACCGTCGTTAGCGCCGCCATCTACCAACTCAACGCCACTTCCCAACCCTTCATTTCCACCGCCATGCAATTCACCATAGTCACACGAAACCCCAACGGAAGAGTCGCCATCCTTTACGACAAGTTGCAAGCTTATGTTCTGTACAAAAACTAACAGATCACCCCCCACTGGACTTACCACCACTGTTCCACGAGACGAAGACCACGGTGGCGTTTTCTCCGGTTCTGGGTAGCGCGAAGGTGCCGGCTTCGGCGGAGGTGGTGAATGGACTGATGATGGATGAGACGTACGGAGTGGTGGGGCTGAGGGTGGTGGTGTTGGGGAAGTTGAGATGGAAGGCGGGTGCTATAAAGACAGGGAAGTACGAGGTTTATGTGAAATGTGATGTTTGGGTCGGTTTGAAGAAGGAGGTGAGAGGACCGGTGCCTTTGGTCGGAGCTACTCCATGTAAAGTTGATGTATGAAGCATACGTGAATGGCTTTTACTTTTAAAAGCTTAGTCTGGCTTCTTTCTTCCGGTTTTGTTTCATGAATTTCAGTGTAGCTTTGGTGCCTTGTACTTTTTCATAGTTTTGTAAGCTTCTTTTATGTTTTATTAATATACAAAATTATCTGCAGAAAAAATGAAACTCCAAGAGGAAAATTGAAGGAATGGTAAGCAGTGTATAAATTGCAAATGGGGTTGGTGTTCCTCATTCTTCATTTTGAGTGCAGAGTGTAATTAGTAAAGTAGTCATGAAGTAAATAGTAGCATGTGGGTAAAGATGGCAATTTAACTCGAATCCGACTGGTTTTGACCTAATTCAATAGGGTTGGATTTTTTTATAAAAAAATTGGATTTGAGTCGGATCGGATATTTTAAGGGGTGAGGATCAGGTAGGGTGAAGGGTGAAAAAATTCTGACCCAATCCGACTTAAGGATAGTAATGTTATTTTCTTTAAATTTTTATTATTTTTAAATAAATCATTATTTTATATAGTGTCGGATTAGGTCAGGTCGAGACATAATCGGATGAAGAGTATATATTTTTCGGGTCGGGTCGATATAAAATTTTTAGGTCAGCTCTATATATTTTCAAATCTAAGCAGTTGATCAAAAATCCGATCTTAACCCCACCCATCTCTACGCTGTGGGTGCGGAGTTTTCGAATTGGAACAAGGCGTCAGCTAAAGTTGGCCGCTACCCCCACTATCTATCATTTTTCTTTGTCTTTTATATCATCTGTGCTGATTGCTTCCCATATTAACTCATTTGTTTACGTTTTTCACTGTGTCGCGTCTTATTATAGTATACGGTAAACTATTTATTTTGTCGTTTAATTATTTATGTCTTATTTTACTCATTAACTATTCTTTTAAATAATATTTTTTTATTTTGATCATTTTTCATTAAAAGATTTATGACGATATTTATATCATTATTGGTAAAATAAAAAATCCTACATTAAAATTTTTATTAATTTTAAATAATAAATGATCAAAATATAACATTAAATATGATTTAAAAAATAGTTTTATTAAAATTTTCTTTGGGGAAGTAATGAGTTGAGGAGTACTGTATGGAATACAGAGTCCTTTAAGAAAAAGGCAGACGAAGTGTGGTGGATAGACGGACGGACAGAGACTCCAACAATTTCAGTGTCGTTCCACCTGGAAAACTGGACACACCCACAAATATCTCTTGAATTACATCATACCATTTCGTTTTCCTCTCTTTTTAAAATTATTAATGGATGATTTATAGTTGATTTTTATGATGTGAATGAACAATGTATAGAATATAAGTGGCTTACATTAATTGTGTGCATAAGATGAACCTATTGGACCTGCCTTCTTCCAATTATATTTTAGTTTTACTGAGCTTTAATTAAATTTGGTCATTGTAAAAAAACCAACTTATTAACCTTGTGAGAGTTTACATAAAAACTTAGCTGCCTGGTAGATTGTGTTTCAACATCAAAGTTCAAAGAAAGTGGGCCAAAATAAAGGCAAAGCCGGAAGACAATTGGGCACAAAAATATAAAAAAACAACCCCATACATAACCAATTGGCTCAATCTCCATAATTAAATTTATCTGTATATGGGGTAGTTGTTTAAAGAAGCATTGTATTTACTGGTGTTATTATATAAAAATTACCAACTTTGATGAATTCAACAATGATGAAATTTGCCTTCTAACTTGGGACCAGTGCGCTTACGACAGTTGTTCATTCTCTCGGTGGGTCTAAAAGATTTACAAGTGCAGGAGTCTTAACTATAATAATAAAAATCGAGTGTAAAAACAATGACTAAATTTACAAGCATAATACCAATGCTTTAAAAATCAAACCAATAAACTGTTTACGAAAGAAAAAATCCTGAAAAAACATGCGACAAAATCAGAATTAGAAACAAACAAACCGGGGCAGAACTAATGTAATAATAGAGTTGGGTCATCTTAGGGAAGAATTTAGACCATTTGCTTGGGCCTCATTGCCCTCTCTTTTCAATGCTTTATACATCCATCCCTACCTACCTTTAAACTGTAGTATTATATAGCCGATTACCACATTCTTTTGTGCTTATCCAAGACTTAATCAGTGGCTATCAAGCATCCAAATTTCGTTTTGAGGAATCATCTCTTTCGTTCCATTTCACGTTTATTCCAATTTTAGTTTGACAAATAAGTGCATCTCTCTTCTTAAAGCAACACTTATCCTCATGCCTTTGAAAGAAAATTTAGCAAAATTTTCCAATCATTGGGGTCTACCACTTTGCATCCATAACCAGGGGCTCAAGAAACCGGTTTAACCTATAGTCACTGAAGAATGAAAGATTCAACTTTCAAGAAGAGGATAAGGTTCCTTGCAATCTTGGGGCTTTGGTTTAACCATGAAGATATTGTTGATGAGATGGATGACCAGCTCAGTAGGTAATGGCAACATTTTATTTATTTACACTCTACTCTAGGTGTGGGCATTACCTATTAACTACAAGACAAGACCAAAATTTGCAGTTATGTTTCAGCAGGAGAGTGCTGAGTGCCCCCTTGGTTGTGTGGCTCAAGACTTGAAAATGGATAAGGTTTTTCAAGACAATATCATGTGTCTTCAATTCTAAGGGACACCAATTTTATCTCTGCTTTTGCAGTGATAATAATATAAAAAACGAAGGCAGATACCCAAAGAATATGAAGGAAGAACCTTATTTCTATACATAAGGTGAAAGGTTATGGAGGCTTGAAATTTGTTACCATCTTGACATGGTTGATTAACAAGCTTGCACAGAACATATAAGACCCCTGAAATCATTAAGGGTGGTTGGTACATACCCAGAATTCAATTTTAACTATACTCAAAGAAAAAGTGTTGATTGGTTCTTGAGGCTTCAAGGCAGAAGACAGATCTAAAACTCAATATCCCCCTTGAAGACAGAGTTCTGTCCTTTGAGACAATTAACGTTTTATTAGGCCCCAGACGAAGCTGTTTTCTCAGTTTATGAGAAATTGCAAATCACCTTTTAAAAATTTAGTATCAAGATCCATAGCAGGACTTTCCAAAGCTTTTTTTTTTTCCTCCTTTGGTGTACGATCAAAGGGCAGTCCCCACAACCGTGTGCCCCCGCTGCTGGACAAAACTGCCATCTCCAATAATGCTTAGGACATTTGTAAACCAGACCACCCCACTCTCTTTCTCACCAAACCTTCCACTTCCAAATACTGGAAGCAAATTACTGTATATCTCTTCATTCTCAGTTTGGGTACTTTTCCACCCTTCATTTCTCACAATACCTGTTACTTTCACCATTGTTACAGCATTTCAGCCCTGTTTACATTTGTTGCTTTTTTCAGTGAGAGTCCTTCAAAGCATTTATTAGGCCTTTAAGGTCTTATATTACTCAACTGGGGGTGTTACATTTATCACTTGTATTGATTTGTTAGCCATCAATATATGGAATGTTGTGTAACTGAGAGAAGGGAACAGAGGTTGAAAGAGAAAGGGAATTTAAAGGCATTTACTTCAACTGCTTATTACTACTAAGCTGTTATGGAGAAGCTCCAAGTACCAATTGATCCTTATGTATGTTACTTCGCTTACTTTTAGGACGTGTTTTTTTGCTGAATCCCATTTCTAGTAGAATCAAGTTGTAGACTGCATTTACTTAATAAAAACAAAATGCTTGCATTCTTATGTTTTTTTTCCCTGTAAAATGCTAATGTACCAGTACTACCGCTGATTCTTACTCTTTCAACATTCTATATTTATTCTGCTTTCTTTTTCTCTTTTATCTGCTGAGGCTGAATCATGTGACCTCCACGAATTTGCTTATTTTCTTTTCTCCTTCAAATTGTTCATTGAAGGTGGAATGCTTAGAACAAGGCTTTGCTGAAGAAGAAGAAACACGGTTTCACCAAGCTTAGAAAAGAGAATGTCATTTCTTCAAATGCTTCAGTGTGTTGAATCCCCTCAGCATTTTGCCTTGAGAGAACCAAATTTGCGGAACCTTTTGAGGCTGCAACACTTGAAGAAGCCTTGGGACCTAAACAACAATCCTTTCATTCCGGACATGGAAACCCAAATTCAAGCACTTGAGCTAGAAAGCTGCATCTTCCATGAAATACTACTCGGCCTGCATTCACCAGTAAAATCCGAGACCAAAGATCTTAAAAAAAGCGCCCCTTCGGGTTCATGTTTCCAAGTTCTCAGCTCCGGGTCGAACCAAGACCGAACAAAGTCTGCAACGACAGACAACTTGGGATCGAGAGAACCACGGAAGCGAAAACGAACAAAGGTGGCGAAGAACAAAGAAATCGAGAGCCAACGCATGAACCATATTGCCGTCGAACGCAACCGTAGACGCCAAATGAACGATTATCTAAATTCCCTCCGCTCTCTCATGCCTCCATATTATATCGAAAGAGTATACATTATTCTAACTTCAAACAAAACTTTAGCCCCATTGTTAAAACTTTGTTTAACGAAAGCTATGTTTTTGTTTTGTTTTACAGGGAGACCAAGCTTCAATTATAGGTGGTGCAATTGACTTCGTTAAGGAGCTAGAGCAACTTCTTCAATCCTTGGAAGTACAGAAGAGAATGAGGGAATTCGAAAGCAACAATATTAGTGATAATTCAGTGCCTAAGCCCGCCATGGAACCAGATAATGGAGATGAAGTAAACGCAGAAATCAAATCACGTGCAGCCGAAATAGAGGTTAATGTAATAAACGGTCATGTCAACTTAAAGATTCAGTGTTCAAGAAGAGCTGGTCAGTTGGTGCAAGCCATTTTCACCCTGGAAAGTCTTAGATTGATAGTTTTGCATCTCAACATTACCACTTCCCAAGCATCTGTTCTCTACTCGTTCAATCTCAAGGTAAATATTCCTTTTTGAAGTTTTGTTTTGTTTAGGCAGAAACCTAGTTCCAAAATTTCTCAAAATATTTGTCTTGTTTTGTTGTTGGCTTGGTTTTGTTGTTTTCTGGGGTTGTGTTGAAAATGGCGATGACAGATGGAGGATGACTCTGAGCTAATATCAGCGGATGAGATAGCATCAGCAGTTCATCAAATATTCAGCTAATTCAAAGTTTAAAAAAGATGATGATATTATCATTCACTCATTAGGCATCTGACCTTGATTCCTCGTGAAAGAGGGGTCCATTGTATGTTCCACAAAGACAACTCAAGACAGAGCAATTGATGTTTACATCTTAACTTAAGGAACTTCACTTGTTTTAATACTAATGATTCTACCTGCTTTACTTGATAGAAATGATAATTGAATCTATGTAATTTCCAAGTATCTTCATTAGTATATGGGAAGTGATGGATAACTGGGAAGATGAAGAGGGTTTTGACGTAAATAAACAAAGTCAAAGGCAGGCCCATCCCTAACCATGGGCAAAAGGGGCAATCGCCCAGGCCCATTTGTTCAGGACTAAAACTATAAATTTATATATAAATTAAAGGGATGAATTATTTATTTATTATTTTATTTTTGTTTTGACCATCAAATTATTATTATTTTTCAAAATCATACTTAACGTTATATTTTGTTTATGTTTTGTTATTCATCATTAAAAAAATTAACATCATTTTAAATTATTTTTTATTTTTCACTTAATTATTCTTTAATTTATTTTTTAATACTTGTTATTAGGCCTAATTTCTATATTCACCCCATACCACTAAAATCTCATAAACAGACTTGGTCAAAGGTATTTAATTAATTGGATGAAGCTCAAAAAGAGCAAGTGAGCTTAAGGCACACTGAGAAATGTCATAAGAAAGCTGCAGTAGCAGCTTAAAGCACATATCCCCATGTGAAAAAAGAAAAAAAATTGAGGCAGAGACATTGTAAACAATGTCATAGTCATTTTAATTGCTTTCCTTATGAGAGGACAATCTTACCTTTCGTTTTTCTTCCCCTATCCCAATCCACCATTGTTATACATTCCTTTTCTGAAATACTACAAAAGCTATCATCATTTCCTTCCAATCATTTTATGAAATGATATTAATTTTAAGTCCTCATTCATCTCTTCCTATTTTGTTGGTATTTTAAAGAAAATAAAACTCAATAAAGGAAGAAAATTGAACGTTGTTGTTTTATTCAACAATCATTCATAATTTAAATATAATGAATTCAACAATCCACTAATAACATGTTTATAAATTTAAGCAGCACCAATGAATAATTTTCTCCTAAACCTAAGAAACACACAAATAACAAATAAATATAAAAATAGAAGCATTAATAAACACATCAACTAACACTCCTCCTTGTTTTAGGAACTGCAAACACGAAGTGTTGTTCACAAAATTTAAAATTTGCTTACCAGAAGCGGCTTGCTGAAGATATTTGCAAGCTACTTCTCTATTTTGCAATGAACTAATATAACATCACCTTCTTTTTGCACTTCTCTCAAAAGGAAAAGTTTAATGTTGAAATGCTTTGTTTTCCCATGAAACACTGGGTTGCGGGAAATTGCTATGGTAATTTTGTTATCAATAAAGACTTTTGTGCTTTCATTCTGTTCAAGATTGAGATCACAAAATAATTTTCTCAGTTATAAAGCTTGATTAACAGTGGATGTTACAGCAATAAATTTTGCTTCGAAAATGAATTGAGCCATGTTTCTTGCTTCTTTGAGCTCCGTGAGAAAACACCTGATCCAAAAGTGAAACAATAGCTTGAAGTACTCCACATGTCATCAATGAAACCTCCCCAATCACTATCATAGAAGGTAACAATCTTGAAATTCTTGCTTTTTATGAATTTTGACACCTAAATTACTCGTGCCTTTGATATAACGAACTACTCTCTTAGCAGCCATGAGATGCAATTCACTTACACAATATATAAATCGAGACAAAATGTTTACAACATTTAAAGTATCAGGACATGTTACTATAAGATTCATATGAAATATCTTTCATCAACTTTAGCAAAGCTTCTCCTTTTGATTCATATGAGTGCTCACTTCTTTGCATTTTTTAGAACTTTTTCAAAATTTCTTTGACATACTTCTTCTCGTAGATGAATAATTCATGCTCAGTCTGTTTAATTTCTATTCCAAGGAAAAATGACATCAACTTGAGATCTGTCATCTCAAAAGCCTTTATCAGTTTTTGCTTGAATTGTTGTAGCATTCCTGCATCATTTCCCATTAGCAAGAGATCGTCAACATAAAGAGAGACTATCAAAACATCATTGTCATGACTTTAACATAAAGAGTAGTCTCAAATAGGCTTCTTTCAAAGCCCAAGCTCAACAAATGATCATCTATTTTATATTACCAAACTCTTGGAGCTTATTTCAGTCCATTGAGGGCTTTCTTAAGAAGAAACATTTTGTCTTCATCTTCTTTCTTCACAAACCTCCAAGTTGCTCAACTTAAATTTCTTCTAGCAAAATTCCATTTAAAAAATTTATTTACAGCAAGTTGATACACCCTCCAATTCATTTGAGCCTCTACAACAAGTAAAAGTCTTATGGTGTCCAAACGAGCAACTAGTGCGAAGGTGTCTGAATAGTCCACATCAAAATCTTGTACATAGTCTTTGACCACAAGTCTTGCTTTGTGCTTGTTGATTGACATCAATATTAATCTTGGTTCTGTATACCCATTTGACTATAATCACATTTCTATATTGGGGTCGATCAACCAACTCCTATGTTTTGTTATTCTCAATCATGGATAACTCATCTTTCATTGCAACCACCCACTTTGTGTCTTTTATTGACATAGAAAAATATACAGGTTCACATACAGTTATATTACATATTGCATAAATGTCAGTAAATAATCTAGCACCCCTTGTTAAAGCATCATCCACCAACTTATTCAACCAATTTTCATTTACATTTGTTGCTGAAGTGGGTAACTTAAGCTTTAAATTTGCAGTAGTTGGACCATTTTTCTCATTCGAATTCCACTCTTCATCTTCTACAAAATGAACATCTCTTCTTATAATAATTTTCCCATTATGTGGTTGAAAAATTTTATAAACTTTTTAAACATTACTATAGCCGATAAAGAAACATGGAAGCGTTGTTTTGTCTAACTTATCTCTCTTGATCTGTGGAACGTGAGTGAAGTACAAACAACCAAATATTTTGAAAAAATGAAAAGATGGTTTATGACTATACCAAGCCTCATAAGGTGTTTGATCCTTGATTGTTTTTGTGGGCAAACTATTTTGTAGAAAAACTGCAATATGAGCTGCCTCTACAGCTCTGTCTAGAACTTCTTGGGTAAATTCTTTTCATGCAACATAAATCTAGTTATTTGTGAGATATATTGTTTCACTTTTCGCTAACTCAATCTTGTTGCGACGAATAAGGAGCTTTCAATTAATCTCAATACCATATTTTTTACAAAATACGTTGAAATTTTCTGACGTAGACTTCTTGCCATTATCAGACCTCAATATTTGAATATGACCACCGCTTTGATTTTTCACCATTCTTTTGAATTTCCGAATGCTACAACAACTTTTGACTTGAATTTTAAGAAGAAAATCTAACATATTCTTGTGAAATCATAAATAAAATAAAATAATATCGATTACCTGCTAACGAATGAGTTCTTTGAGATCTAGAAATATCTGTGTGAATCAAGTGCAACTTTCAAGTGGCTCTTCATGTAGACATTGGAAATGACTTTCTGTTTTGCTTTACAAACCAGCAAGCCTTACATGTTAATATGTGATCATCAAGTTTTGGAAGATCCATTGCCATGGTTTTGGACTTCATCTTCAATATCCCTTTATGGTGATAGTGTCCGAGCCTTTTATGCCATAACATTGTGAGGCTTTCTTTTGCTAGAAAAGCCGATTGCTCCTCGTGTATCGGATTGAGGGAAAAACTTCTCCCTACCATCTTAACTTCAAACATTTTCTAACCTGTAGCAACCACTATCATACATGTCTTCTCCATGAATTTCACTTTGAATCCCTTCTCTATTAATTGACCAACGTTAAGCAGATTTTGATCAATGTCAGGTACATAAAGGACATCATAAATAAACTTGGTACTTGAACAACTTGCAATGGCTACGGTCCCTTTTTTGTTGACAACAATGTATTCATCGTTCATAATTCTGACTTTCTTAGACTCGATACTCTTCAATTTTTTGAACAACTCTTTGTCATGAGTCATATGATTAGTGCAACCACTGTCAATAAGCCAACTTTCCCTTGCTTCGTGACTAGTGAAACAACTTGCACTAAAAAGTTGATCTTCTTCTTTTTGATATGCTACTTGTGCCTCATCTTATTGTTGGTTTTTATACTTGCAAATAACAACTTCATGTCCTATTTGGTTACACTTGCTACATTTTGCATCTGGTCTTCTCCAACACTTGAAATATGGGTGACCTTTCTTTATGAAGTGTCGACATGAAGGATAATCATTCTTTACTCTTGGTCTTCTGTTCCAAACTTTGTTTTCGTTCCCAAATACAGAGTTTCTTAACTCGCAGCATGGAACCTTTTTTTCTTTGGCCTCCTCTTCTTTTTATCATCTTAGTACTTAACCGGTAGAGCACCTTTAATGACTCATTCTTCCCTTATTACACATTTTTGCTCTGTTCTTGCAAAACATATAATAACCCCACCAAAATAATCTTTGAGATATCTTTCATATTCTTTAAGGTTGTGATGGTGGCCTCAAACCTCTCAGGTATTGTTATAAGTATTTTCTGTAGAATCATTGAATCTTCTAGATACGAACCTAGCAGTCTGACCTTATTGGCTACGCTAACGAGTTTGTTAGAATATTGTTTTACTGTCTCAGTCTCTTTTATCTTCTGCAACTCAAATTCACGTACAAGATTCAACACTTGCATCCTACAAATTTTTTCATCTCCCTTATACCCAACCTTCAGATAATCTCATATCTCATTTGTTGACTTTAGAGACATAGCTGGTGAAAATAGTCGATGATGTTGTAGCAAATAAACATGTTTTTGCCTTTGCTTTCGTTATATTCTTTTCTTTTTATGCTTTGATCTATACTATGGTGGGGTTGGTCGGCAATGCAGAAATCTCATAATCTTCTTCCATAGCTTCTCAAAGATCTACAGCCCTCCAGGTAAGTCTCTATGCATACTGCCCAAACTGGATAATTATCTCCATAAAATATAGGTGGCGCAATCAAGGAAAAATTACTTTCACCTTTCATGCTATAGAAAAAACTAGCGCATGTCCCTCAAGAAAAAAAAATCTTTATTGCCAATTGTTGTTATTTTAAAGAAAAGAAAAATGTTAGCTCTAATGAACAACCAAAATATGCCAATAGGGGTGAATTAGCCTTTTAAAACTTTGGTGGAAGCAATAAAAAACAAAAAACTTTGCACAATAATTTAGAGTGGTTCGAATTCTAAACCAAGTCTACACCCACTACCTTAGTTATCCACACTAAGGATTTCCCAAATCTACTAGATTTGGAAACCATTAAGGATAAGGTGTAACCTTACAAAGACAAACAAGGTTTATACCCCAAAAACTTGCTTATAACTCTCCCAAAGAGTAAATACAAATTTAGAAAAATAAAGAAAAACATCATAAAGTCAAATAAGTTTGCACAATTTAAGCACTCACCCAATGCACACTTGAGAAAAATAAACAATGTAGCTCAAAAGCACAACAAAGAATTTGACAAATTAAGTATAAAACAAAACTTTGATGTTGATAGGTTGGTTCAATGTGATTCTTGTTGACCTTGGAAAGCTTTGACCTTCAATTTATACATTCTCCATTAATTCTAGTCTTTTGGATCCCTTGGGGATCATTATAGTTGTTACCTACAACCAAAAATAGCATTTAATGCATAATAGATTGATCCTATAATGAAAGGGATCGATCCTTTTACTAGGGGATCAATTCTTTGAGCAAAAAATCATTGAAAACTTAACTTTAAAGCGCAAAACGATCGAGTAAGGTTTTGAAAAGGTTCGACTAAGTTGGAAAACATTTAAAATATATTTTTTAAGTTAATTTGGACTTTGAATTATTTTTGATAATTTTTTTATAAATTCGATCAAGTCCAAAATCAATTTTAAAATCAATTTTGTAATTTATTGTTATATCAAAATCTTAATTCAACAAAAACTCAATAGATGAAGGAAGCTAAACGTTGTTGTTTTATTTAGCAATCATTCATAATTTAAATACAATGAATTCAACAACCTGCTAACATGTTTCTAAATTTAAGCAACACCCATGAACAACTTTCTCTTAAATTTAAGCAACACAAATAACAAATAAATCTGAAAATAGAAGCAGTCCTAAACACATCAACTAACATGTTTCAACATGTTTTGCTTATCTATTACTTAAAAATTGTTAATAATTTAAATGTTAAAAGAAAACATTTTTTTATTTCAAGTTTATTCAATAATACATAGAATCTTCTCATTCCTCAAATTCCAATGAAGTAAATGTTAAAAGTGGAACATGTACTACACTTGTACTCTTTTAACTACAAATTCCAACCAAAGAACTGTCTAATCCATATGTGAATCAATTCCCAATTCAAATATCCTGGACTGGCAATAGCGTGCTTAAGGCTTTAAACATGAGATTTTTTTAGATGCCTTAAATGAGGTCACAATCAGAGATTGATTCCAACCCCGAGGGAAAGCTAAGCTATTCACCCATTCTAAACAAAGATTGAGTATAGCCATCTTCCTTGTAAGATCTTTGCCCTTTTTTAAAAAAATGTACCCAAAAAGTTTCGCCTTATTGGGTCCACCTCACTTAATCTTTCCTCCATCATCGTACTATCAATCAAAGATGTAGAAGAATATTAATCTTCATCGTCGACCAATAGTCATCATATTAAGCTATTCAACAACATCATCGTAATCAATAATAATAAAACATATAGAGGACTCTTCAAGTCAAGGAGAAAAGAAAAGGGTCAAGGTTCAGACACTGCACGTTTGCCATATAAAGAAGGATTGAAAATAGGAAATGATTAGGCTTTTCTTAACTGTGCTTTATAATACATTTTGGGACGACAGAGGATGTATTACTATTTTGTTTTGTTTTAAATTCTAATATGATCACAATATACTATTTATAGTTTTAAGTTTAGATAAATTTATATAAATTTATAAATAAAATTGTTCGAACTAAATGATTTCAATGGTTTAAATTCTTAGAGAGTCTGATGTTTGAGTGATTATTGTCAAAAGATTGAAAGTCTTGAACATATATAATCTTGTAATCATCACAGACCAATTAAAAAGTTGTTCGAATCCAAATTATCTAAAAAAATATTTTTCATTTAATATCTTGGGTTCATGTATTATTATTGAAGGTATATAGTCTTTTAATTTGGAGAAATACCTGTTTAGTTTTGTAAACGATGATAGTGTTTTCCTTGGGGAAAGGTTTTCTGCCTAAACATCTCATTTCTTATATCAATGATAAAGAAAATGGGAAAGTTCCCAAGACATAAGATGTTGAGGAATTGATATTGGGGTTGTTTGGTAAACAACTTTTTAAAGAATTTTTAGCTTATTTGAGCATAAATAGCTTATTGGTACTTAAATCATCTATTTTTAGTATTTGATAAACACCTTTTAGGAATATCTTATTGTGCAAAATAAGCTGAAAATGAAAACGTTGGAAAATTTAGCGATTTGGAAGAGCTTATTGCAAAATAAGAGGTTAAATGACACATTTGACCTTATTATTTCCATAATTACATCCTTGCCATAAAACCTAATCTAATGAAATAGTTTTCATCCTAATATATTTTAGTGAAATTTTATTTTATTATTCTATTTTTTAGTTGTAGATTTTGAAATATATTTTAGTTAAGAAAATACAGCAAAACATGAAAGTAGAAAAAATGTAGCGTTGATATTTTATACAAGGTTAATAGTATATATCAATCTCACAAGGTTAATATTTGTAAATTTTAAATTTTAAAAAATATATTCAAAATTTTCAAAAATATTCACTAATTTTCTCAATGAATTTTTAATTCCTTGTCAAAAACATTTTATCCGAATAATTTCACCACAATAAAGACTAAAATATTATAAAATATATCTGTACTTAACAACTAAATATCTTACCCTTATTTGTCATTTTACCCATATCAACTATCAGCTATCAACTAAATTTTATCAAACACTTCTATATAAACAGTTAATCAAATCAATTGGTCAAACCATCTACTGAAATTAACTACCAACTATCAGTTATCATTTGTTTTTACAAACACCCCCATTATATTTCCTATATGTTAAAGACCAATAAAATTAAAGGCCCAATGGGTTTTTCTTTATGTGATTTTCATTTACCCATAAAGCTGACCAAGTTATTAAAACTTTCCTTTAATATCCATAACTCTCGACCCATACAGCATACAATGAACTCTAGAAGTAAAAAAAATAACAAGTTTACTGAAATTATCTGTTGATCCCTAATACTTGACCTATTTACATGGTGATTTGTTTGCTCAGTAATTTGATTTTATATGAAGTATAAAATATAATTGTGTTAAAAAAGGTTAATTTCATTGTGAAATTAGTGAAACTTTCGAAGATAAAAGCAGAGGAATGGACAGTTTCAATGTACCAGCAAAAGTTAATGTAAATTTAAGATTTATTCTGTCTCACAAAGCATTATGGTGAAGGAAACAAGTAGATTGTTAAATTGGAGCATTGTATGGAATGAAACACCATAAAAAGCCTATCCAATTGCCATGTCAACACTATCTCTATCTAGAACAACTGAATGAGTGGTTCTGTGGATGCATACGCGGAAAACAAACCATCTCCACATTCCTATCCCACAATTATCCCATTCTATACAATTTAAACCAGAAAAAAAGAGTAAATAAACATCGTAGATAAATGTATAGAAACCAACCAAATTACATCATTTTTCCATTTCATTGGCCTTAAAATCTCTCTCAGCACTTGATTATTTAGATCCTGTTTGTGGTTTACTTGCTATGGCTTCAGCTTCTTCCGGTGCACTTTCTATCCCTTCCTCATCCACCCTGGTGGATGCCAAGGCTCCTCGTCAAACGACCGCCGCATCACCACCGTGCGTGACTCTTCCTACACTTCCTCCCCCACCGGTTCAGTCCCAGAGTCGTGCATGGAAGACCACTGCTTATTGTAAAATTCAATATATCATTTCATAGAATATATCAACACTGCTTGATCGTACATGGAAACACTATAACCAATGGCATTCCAACTCTCTTTTTTCTTTTCAGCTCGCAAGATTGCTCGGAACGTGATGGCTATGGCCACAGGGGAGGCTCTCGCCACTCGTGAAGCTCCAGTGGAACTTGTACCAGCTGAACTGCCAGAGTTCATCAAGACATTACAAGAAACTGTAAGACTTTTGCCTGACATCACATTCCTTTCAGTCTCTGACACGAAGATATCATTGGTTTTCAGTGGGACAAAGTTGAGGACAAGTACGCGGTGAGTACAATTGCCGTATCAGGTTTGGTCGCCCTCGTCGGTTCCGCCGGATTGGTCTCGGTGAGATTCAAATGCTGCAGATAGTTTTAATTACTTAAAAGATCATATTCTAACTAGGTGAAATTGGAACAGGCAATTGATAGGCTTCCTTTGATTCCCGGATTTCTTGAGGCCGTGGGTATTGGCTACAGTGGGGTAAGCTTAATTTAATCATCAAAGCTTTTATAATATTCAAAAAGAACTTCATTTTTCTTAGGCATTTCTCTTCTCTTATTGCAGTACTTTGCATACAAGCACCTTCTTTTCAAGCCAGACAGGTAAGCCTGATTTAATCACTTTTTAGCGGAATCCTCTCTAAAATAGGTTTCCCATTTTAGTGATGATCGAACCCTCTACATTCAGGGACGCCATGCTAAAGAAGGTAAAGGAGACATACAAGGAAATACTTGGAATTAGCTAGAGCAAAAATGGTCAGTGGTTAAGAAAAGGATGCTGATGGCATGAAAATCTGAAGCCCCGTATTTGCAGCATCAACCCTTTGCTTATACGCTTCACTTTGTCAGCACAAAATTCTAACAAAAGTAAACCAATGTAATGTGGTCTTGTCGTGGGCAAATTGAGATACATTTATATTTTGTATTTCCCCCCTGTAGCACACATCTTATGGAAGTTCATAAAAGTAATCTCAGTTATTCCCCTCTCATCATTATATAGTCTAACTTTTAGCAAAACCAAAATCCGAGTGGCCTGTGAATTAAATCTTTATTTCTGGATCCTCGCATCTCATAACATACATGGTGCTGATGAACAAGAGCAAACCTGAATGGTAACTAAAACACGAGGACCAAGGCACTTAAATTTTGAACATGCCTAAACATGTTTCAACGTTGAGACCCTGTTTCCAGAACTTGTAGTAGTATTCACTGTATGTAAAGTTTCTGTAGATGGGAGGATGTCGGACGGGGTCGATCAGTGGCGGAGCTGGTCGTATCATGGCGACGGGGGACGGGCAACAGAACGTCGGAATAGAGATCCTCTCCTCTTAGCAATTCAGCACTGCCCGGTGAAGCACGCTCTTGTACCGACCATTGCTCAATACCTGGTCAACGACATCAAAATAATACTAGTTTGTTTATGATTTTATTTTTGGGTGAATTCGACAAAAATCTCTAAACTACTGCTCAAATTTTATATCGATCTCTAAACTCGAAAAAATTCTAATTAAGTCCTCAAAGTATCAATTAGGTGGACTCAAAATATTAATGTCATATCAATCAAGTTCTTTTCATTGATCTAGTCATAAATTAGAAATTAAATGTCAATTCAAATATAACTCAAAGCATATTTAAAATAGATGCATTAAATTATAAGCACGTCTATTTATTAAATGGACAGCTTAAATTTCATGCGTGAAAAATAATCAGTATCTCAAAACTTTAGGTGGATTATTTTATTCTTAACACATCATATATAAGTTGTTTATGTAATTAAATACACATATATTTGTAATTTGATTCATTATTTTCTAATATACTTTACATTATATTTGAATTAGTATTTAACACACATGCTAATGACTAAATGAGTAAAAGGATTAAATTAATATAATACTGATGTTATGAGACTCAGTTGGAAGAGTTTGGCAGACCTTGTCCAATTTCATATACCTAAAATTGTAAATGGTCGAGTTGGAACCAACAACCCACGCATTTGACTTTGATATCTATTAATTAGTTGCGGTCTACTCCGGTTCAAATGAAAAAGCAATCCACCTAAAATTGTAGATTGTCGAGTTCAACTTATTTTATGAAGGGGTTGAACATTTTGAAAATCTAATAATCATATATACTTATGATTGCTTCTAGAATATGTTTTCCCAAGAAGATCATCTTTCTCGTTAAACTATCCATCTAATATGTAACCCACTCAACTTTGGAGCATGTAATATGCAGGGATAGAGGGAAGCAAACGATTAGAAAATTGGTGGTCTTTAAAAATTACATTTTTATTAATAATTTAATTTTAAGTTTTAAAATTTTGTAAATTCATCTTAAAATTTTAACAAAATTTTACAAAATTTTAAGAGTTTAATGTAAAATCTTATTTCATTAACAAATGTTAGTTTAAGTGGTAAACAACTTGATATCACTTAAATAAAGTATCGAGTTCGAGTATTTATGTATACATAAAATTCATACTAGAAGACTCATTCACCAAAACTATGTATGCAACACGGGTTTGTCCTTTGAGCAACAAAAAAAATCTTATATCCATATGTGGTAATTCCCTAACCTGTATCTGGTCACCGATATTGACACTGAAGGTGTAAGGAATAGGGTTGACAGCGATCCACTTTTCGTCTTTAAGCACCTGAAGACCAGGCACGTGATCTTGAAGGAGAATGGTTACAGCATTACGATCGGCATGACCAGGTAGCCCATAAGTCAGCTTAGGCTCTGGACACTTTGGATAGTAGTTGATAGCCATGTGCTGCGCATGCTTTCCGAGTGCCGAATTAATGTAATCCTTTTCCAGCTCTAAGCTCTCCGATATTGCTTCCAGCAGTCTCAGTGCCATCCTCCTGGTGTTCTTGCAGTACTCGGAAGTATCTTCTCTATGGAAAATAGAAGCAAAGAAATGAGAATGATTTAAAATAATATATATCTATCCTTTTAATGATTTACGCGAAAGATGGAGGGTTGGTTGGCCATTCATGAACATAGTCCTCCAAAAGGTTAGCAATGGAGTCTTAAGTAATCCCTCCAGCTTGATACGTTCTCGGTTTGCAAGTTGAAACTCTTGGGAAGTCTCGTCGTCTTCATCGGATCATCGGAGTAGTTCTTCAATCGCTCCTTCTCCGGTAAACGGAAGAATTCTTTCGAGACGTGCGTCATCTTATCGATCACCTCGTTTGAAAGGCCGTGGTTTTTAACCTTCGCCACAGATTAATTAGCGTTACAGCCGAAGCCGAACATTTTTTTTGTACAGGGAAGTAAATGATCTGGAGTGCAGAAGAAACCGATTCATACCAGAAAAAAACCATAATCTTGGCAGGCTTCGCCTATGGCTTTGACGACAGTGGAGCGGTTAGGGCCATCAAGGTGTTGGAGATCAACGACGGGGATGCAATGATCGGAGATAACGTCGTGGAGGTTTGGACGGTCTGATTCAGGTCGGATGAAATTTGGTGGAACGGAGCTCACGGAGGATACAAGGTCGGTTAATAATGGCTTCATTGCTTCGGCCGGGTTTCAAATCACGATCTAAAAATGTGATAGCGCCCGCTAGGGGTGTAAAAAGTTGACCCGACCTGTAAAACTGACTGAAACCGACTTGAGTCAAAATTATTTTTGCTTGCGCTGTGACGATCCAAACCAACTCGAGTGGAAACTGATATTGACCTGAACCTAAGTTGAACTTGAAAATTATGGATCTAAACCCCACTTGCACCCGACCTGAGAACGGTCTGAACCCAAATTAAATATAAAATATGATACCCAAACTCGAACTGCATCTAATTGATATGAATCCGAACCCGAGATTGACCTAATAAATAACTGATATTACTCGACTTGTTTTCAACCTAACCTGTTATGAACATGACTTGTTTTAACCTGATTTGTAAATGATCCGAATTGTTATTGATATGATATTTATTTGACTTGACATTTACCTAACTTCTATATTACCATTGATGAAATTATAAGATTTTAAAAAAAATTGAGTTTATAATAAATCATACTAATTAATATGATTAATTTTTAAATGTTATAATAAAATATTAATTATGATAATTAAATTAATAAATAGATTTCTTATATTAATTATGATTATTATATTATGATTCTTATGTTATAAATCTTCAATATAATCATTAGTTTTATTTTATCAAGTAATTTATGTATTGAACATTATTAATTAAATTAATTATAATGATTACAAGTTAGAATAATTTATTGGCATTAAACATGGTTAATAAAATTAAATGTAAATTATATAGTTTAATTTATGTAAAGAATATTTATCTAATAATTATAACATATATAATTAGAGATAACAAAATAATTAGGTTACTCTACTAGATAAGTGATATTGGTTAAAAAAATTAATTAGGTTACTCTACTAGATTTAAAAACTTAGAGATAAGTATTACTTTTATAAAAAAAAGACAAGTAATTTGGATTAGGGATGCTTATCAAGCAAGTCGATTGTGCGTTAGGAAGTGTTTGACTCGTGCTCGTTAACAATTTTTATTGTTCAACTCGACCAGTTGCTCGTTAAGTTCACTAAATTTTGTTCAACTCGTGCTCGTTAAGAAAATTTGTTGCTCGACTCATTGCTCGTTAAACTCGTTAAAATTTTGCTCGACCCATGCTCGTTAAGAAAATTTGTTACTCGACTCGTTGCTCGTTAAACTCATCGTTTGCCTCATTATTGCTCGTTAAGCTCACCAAATTCTTTATTTATTTTTTAACTATAAGTAAAATCTACTAATATTATATAGAACTTAATATAAACATAAAGTAATAAATTTAACCAAAAAAATTATCAAAAAAGTGTATGAAACAAATTCAAAGTCTAAACACCAAAATAACAATCCATAAATACATTAAAATAATAACTAGGGTTTTATTTTTGGTATAGTAAAACAATAATTATTAATTAATAATTTAATATTTTTAATTATTTATTAGAAAATTAATAGATTAGTAATCTATTATCATTTTTTCATTATCTATTAGTAAATTAGTAATTTTTTTAATGAAATATTTTTTTTAAAGATAACTACTAAAAAGTTATAAAAAAAAATTAACAAGTTGCTCGCGAACTTATCGAGTTGATTTATACTTTTCTCGACTTAGCACGTTAAAGTTTCGAGTCGAGCACGAATTAAAGTCAAGTTTTTTATCGAGTTTGACCGAGTCGAGTTCGAGCTGCTCACGAGCTGATTAACTCATTAACTACCTCTAATTTGGATAATCATGAGATGGTTAAAAACAAGGTTTTATAGTTTGAGGATTATCCTCAAACAAAAACAAAAATCACGCATCATCAAAAAATATATTCTTAAAGAGCAACCAGCAAATGCCTCCAAAAATACTAAAGAAGTATACATGGGTGGCATGATAGATATATGAGCTATTTAACTGATTTATTATAATAATGGAAGCAAATTTTAAGATTTTGTAAATGAATTAAGTTGATAGGAGGGTTCTTATTAACTTCTCTAGGTTTACTAACTGCTATACACAAGGACTACTTCAGGGTTTGAAATTATAGAGAATTGCTCTTCAATGACTGCGGAGACCGAGTTGCTCAATTGTTACATGTTTAGTCAGTTTTCCTTTTCTCAATTAGTCAGAATAGCTGTGTCGTAAGAGTAGTGCACCAGGTAGATATCATCTTCTTTTGACATATGTTGGTTTCATTTCTAAGATACAGACGATACTTAATCTGCAGTGTGATATTCATCTCATAGGTTTATCAATTACAACTATTCATTCACTTTCTCCATATAATTAGTATAAGTACAGTGATAAAGTTCTCACCTTTTTCTGAACCATGTACAGGTAAACTTAACAAGTCTTTCTTATGGACTGAGTTTCCAGCCAGGGTACTAAAGATCTCTGGGTCCAAGCTGACTTCGACGCAAATGGTGTTGTAGATTATGAAGAATTTAAGGTTTGCTGCATATCTC